TCGCCTTCTCCAGCTCAGTACGTTTCGCCACAGTACCGGGGGAGAGAATGTTAAATTTACGTCGATTCACGGCGGGAGTGCAATAAACAGATTTACGAAACTATAAGTAAGCTTTGGTCCACACCAATTTGTGATCAATGCCACACTCAGCTACACGCAGTACACGTGCCATACGCACTTCATGCAGATCACGCAGAAGTATGATGACATTATATATATATATATATATATATATATATATATATATATATATATATATATATATATATATATATATATATATATATATATATATATATATATATGGATGACAGCAGCGGACCACCATGACTGATGTTAAACTGCGTTATGGAACTGGATCCCACCAACCATATGGATTGACGAAGCAGACATCACCGTGCAAAGAAACTATCCATTTATTGATCAATTTTGGCTGATGAAGAGCTGAGGGTTTTGTCAGCTTCATACGACCATCCACAAGGTAGTGGCCATCACTCAGTCCAGACTATTTATCTATGTGTGTTGTGCCAACATTATCCACAAAATACTAGAAGCTCACGCACCGTCAATGACCATTTCTAGCTTTACAACTTAGCGCAAACCGTTGTTTGGAGTTACAAGCCGTAAAGTTCTTAGAAAGGCGCATGGATTGAAGTAAAGGGCAAAATGACTAAGGTCACCCAAGCAGCCTCAACAATTGTGCCGGTACGAGCACCGCACCGGACTGATATCTCCATCCGAAACATAATGCATAATTGGACAAAGGAAGTGTTGGTATTTTCAGACAACGTGCACAGCAATCATGTAAGATCAAATGGAGGAACTACTAAACGACCAGTAACTACTGCACGTAAATAATCAGATCAGGCAACCGCAGATGGTAGGAGGCAAGGGTACTGGGGTTAGATGTAATGTCACACTACTTCAAAAGTATGTGAACTATACCAGGAAGATGACCGCTCAAGGAGTGCACTGAATGCTGCAAAAGTACCAACCATACATTTCTGCTTCGTGGCAACAAAAGCCAAATATTTCTCCCTACCGCCTAGCGGATATCACCGATTAACCAAGTGTCAACATGTAGTGGGAAAAAGAAGTAGCATTCTATAAAATAAAAAAGTTAAACTTGAATTTTGGTAAAGCACAACCCTAGGTAAGCCGCCAATTATTCGCGCAATCTGCTTAGCAAGACGAAACCTTAGTCAGTGCGATAATTCGACGCGGTAGAATCGCTGATCGATGAACGAGGCATGCAGACCGACGACGGATAGCATAACACGCATAGCCGAAACCAAAAGGCGAATCAGAGTTCAAAGCAGTGTTGTTCAATGTTGGTCGCTTAAAACAAAGCTGTACGATAAGTATTGGAAACGGGAACAGGAAGGTACAATTGGAAGAATATAATTGTACAATCGCTACAGAACTCCCCACTAGAGCATGAGTCACTGAGACGAATTCTCGATACTTGTGTCTCATTTATCGTAGTCTGGAAGGGAGAACAACTTTACGTACGAAGCATGTTCGGTGGTGCCAGTTCCGGTTAGCGTCGTGCGATACTTGGGGTGCAGGAGAGGGAACAGAAGTGTCACACATTGGCTGAACAGATGGCGTATTTGGGAAGGTGGACTGGTCCATGACAAGAATATCCGTGGATTTCGATGTACACTTGCTTCAAGCGGTCAATACTCACGGTATCCTGATAACCATTTCTAGCCAGTACAAAGTACTTCTTCAGGGCAACTACTTTAAAGCGGCCCTTATAAAGCGGTGTCAAATGTTCATGGACGGAATGGTTACGCACGAGTACAAAGTGGCAAGTGGGCAAATCATGGTGCATCTGCTGACTCCGGAGATGATTCTAGGCGATTTTGGACGAAATGAGCTGAATTGTTGCCTCAGGCGTGTGGTGTACTATGTCGGATCGACTTCTCTAGTCACCCTTGGGTCGAACACCATTGCTCCGGGTAGGGTGATAGTAGTGCTAAAGAACAACTCAGGGTGACAACAGCCAATGTCTTCTGTAATGGTGTTACTAATACCAAGCAAGATGATCGGTAGACCTTCTGACCGTTGTGCATTCGACTGCGAAGCAGTTATTGCGGCCTAAGTTTCCGCAGAAACACCTCGTAAAGGCACGGCAAGTGGCTAACGCGTATAACGATTAATATATGTTAATAAGCAGACAAGACCAATAGATGGTAGCAGGAGTCCAACGATGTTAAGATGAACATATTTGAGACGGACGTCAGGAAGTGCAAAGGTGCCGGGGACGGTAGATCTTACTGATTTGGCAAGTGATACAGTGTTTGGCCCACTGCTGGATCTCGGAGCTCATGTTGTGCCAAATGAAGCGATCAGTAATCAGATGACTCGGATGCTGGGTGTGAAATTCCATGCAGATGGTCAAAAATGATTCGGCGATACTACTAAGGGACAAAAGGCCGGGGCTTGCCGGTAGAAATATCATAGTAAATATTGGAGATTGCATTAGGAATTGGCAGTTGTGATAGTTTGATCGGTGGATTGGATCTCAGCTGCACAAACTCCGGATCTCCTTTTTGATGAACTGTCATGTCTTCTAAGCTGATCGTCTGACTTGGAACTTAGTGAAGACAGATACGCGACATAGCACCGGTGACAAGTTTATTGGCGGCAACAATGTGGCCAATATCGGTTGGAAACTGTGAGCTATAATCCAGATAACGAATTCCTCTGTAGGAGAAACGGCTGGATGAACCACGGAAAGCAAAAACAAGTGGTTTATAGTCTGTGAGAATAGTAAACGTGCGACCATCCAGCAGGTGCCGAAAATGTTTGGTAGCGAGGTAGATACCTAAAATTTCTCGACCAAAGGTGCTGTATCGGGTCTGTGCGGGCTGAAATTTGGGAGAGAAAAAGTATAGGGGCTTAGATCGATCAATGATTACCTGCTGGAGCACAGCCCCAAAGGCGGTCTGAGATGCATCAGTCTTGAGGATGAGAGTTGTGTCAATATCATTCCTCAAATGACAAATTGAGGTAGGATTGGACAGTGGGGGCTTGATCTGGTCGGATGCATCATTAGCTGCCTGAGTGGGTTCAAATTTTTGTGACCTGCCTTCAAGTAAATCGGTCACTGGCTGGAGTAGCCCAGAGCGATCTGGTATGAAACGGTTGTAGTAATTTACTATGCAGAGAAAACGACCGAGCATTTTTAGTGATTGCGGCATGGAGTAATCTACAATCGCATGTGTTTTCTCGGGGACTGGATTAATGCCGTTGCACTCAATTCAGTGGTACAAAAGATCAACAGAAGTTTGGCCGAAAACACTTATCAACATTGATTGTAACACCGTACTGAGCGAGGTGTTCGAAAATTGATCGAAGGTGTTACAGATACTCATCATGATTGGAACTGGCCACAAGAATATCACAAATGTTAACAAAGACGAAGTCCAGCCCTCTAAAGACTTGTTCGATAAATCTTTAAAAAGTCTGCGCGAAACTTCCCAAACCAAATGGCATGCGGATGAATATATAAAGATTATATGGTATGGTCACAGCGATTTTCAGAATTTCGTCTATCTTAGAGAAGGTTGTTACTGCATGTAGACCAGTTAAAAATCATGGATGTCAGGAACCGGATATCTGTCAGAGCCGGTGGCATTGTTTAGTGCCCGGTAATCTCCCCAAGGTCTCCAGACCCCAGTAGACATTTTGAAATTCATTTGAAGCGGGGAGGACCATGGGCTCTTAGAAAGATGAACGATGCCGAGATGAAGCATTTATTCGAACACTGCCTAAGCAGTAGCGACCATATCTGGAGGTAGTCGTCGAGGTCAGGCGGTTGCTGGCGATCCATGCTTTACGACGTGGTGCGTAATTTTTGTGCTTAGGTCAAGGAAATTGGTTAGACAATTGATAAAGGGTAGGAAACTGCAGTAGTAGTTCGGTGAACACATGGTCGGTGGGTAAGGTCAAGCGAAGACCGAGCAAACTGATAGAAGTGACTTTACCTTAGACAAATAAGAATGTCAAGCTATCGCACAGTTTTCGGTTACGCAGGTCCACGATGAGGCCGAACTTGGTGGGGAAATCAACACCAAGTATGGGGCGTTGGAGGTCAGCGGTAAAAAAGAAGGGAAAACTTTGACGGAGACCAAGGTTGAGAGCGAGCATTTTCCGGCCGTATGTACGGATCTTCCTATCGTTATCCGCCTGCAATGCCAGCACGGTTGGAAGTAGGTTGCATTTTTCTGCAGCATGAGGAATAACGCTAACCTCAGCACCGCAAGCTTCTCGTACAATCGGAAAATATGCGTATTATTATTATCATCATTATTATTCGACGCGGTAGATCAGATGAGCGATGAATGAGGCAAGCAGACAGACGACCGACAGCATAACACGCATAGCCAAAGACCGAAGGCGAATCGGAGTTCGAAGCAGTGTTTTTCAATTTTGGTTAGTTAAAACAAAACTGCACGATAACTATTGGAAACGGGAACAGGAAGGCACAATTGGAAGAATAGAATAGTTCAATCGCTGCAACATTTATCCCAGCAAACCAACTGTGATCCTGTATTGATGCCCCTAGTATCAACAAGATTTACCCAAATGTTCACAAAACGCTTCGCATTTCTAGCGCGTCTTGTTTCCTCTGGAACGTTCTGGAACCAAGATCTCTCTGGACGTCGTCGTCCCACCTACAAACCTTCTGGATCGAATATGGTCTCAGTCTTAATTCCAACTCACGTCTCTGATGGTCACATGCTGTTTCTTTCGGTCAATTCTGTTCGTTTCGCTATTCGGCACTACACGATAAACTGCTCCCCAGCTTGTAACCACCAATTTCTCTGTCACTAATCGTGTTGTGCTCACGAGCATCTGTATCAGTCGCCCCAGATATTATCGTTTACCAGCGATACCATTATTTTCCTATTTGTTTGTCTACTTGTGAGTAACTTGAAAAACACAATTAGAAAACGAAGCTCGGCAGATGCATGCTGTAAGCGACAATTCGCTTTGAAGGGCCTTGAGCCAACGCGTATCCAGCCAGTCAAAGAACAAGAACACTGGACAAGATGACGGTACTATTAACGAACAATCAGGAAGCAATAATATTACAAACCTCAATAGTAGCGCTTCCACTCAACGCAGTTTCAAAAGAGATACAATTCGGTCCGAGAACAACAAGAAAGGGTTCAGATCGTCAATGCGATACAGAATACAGAACACTGGTTATATAGGACAAGTGAAGTCCATGCGATTGGTCAAACACAGACCGGATGAAGGCCGGATGCGTGAAATGTGAGTGTGTGGGATGATAAGTACATTGCTCATGATCAGTGCGAGAATAATTGGGGTGATTGTTGCCGTGGTAAGGGCAAAGATAATTGAGGTGATAGTTGCGGTGGTAGTGGCGAAGATAGTTGGGGGTGGTAGTTGCGGTGGCAATGGCGAAGATAATTGGGGAGGGGGGCGATAGTTGCGCTCGGATTAGTCCACACTCGATGGTTGGCGGATGGCGGAGTTGAACACAGGGCATGGAGAATCCTACACTCCCGCCAAATTTCGGACAGAAATTTCACTTCGGGATCTTGAGGTACTCTGGTTCACCCTAACCTGCTCCATCCACTATGGAGAAGAGTAGGACTTACAACGGTACGCCTAAACTTCTCCACTTCGGTCTGTTGAACTCACGGTGGTCCTCCCTGAGGCAGCAGATCCGAAAACCCACCTCCCACTTGCGGTGATTCAACAGCCGGGACTGACCCCTTGCCCCATTCGCTGCCTTCGATAAGGCAGATCTTTATAACATCGCGCGCAAACAACCCATTTATTCTAACCGACCTTGTCTTTACTAGGCCGTCCTGGGTGGTCTTACAACTCTCAGCCACTGCCAAAGGCCAACTGTCCCGACAGTGTGAATCCGAAGTGACTAAATCCACGTCCTTATGTCTAACGTTGCGTTGTAATTTCGGCCACCTTTGCTTCAGGTGCATTAACGTGAGATACTCCTTGCTCCACCGTTTCCAAATTAGTGTGGCTAAGTAGTTAGTTTGCCTACAACATTGTGCAGACCCGTTATAAAGCTTCGCTGGTGCTGTTCCCTCTGTATTCGATCTGAGTATCAGCAGATCATTAGGCGTGAGAACTGGTTGATCAACCGCGATTGTCGTCAGCAGGTTAGGAGGCCTACTGTTAATGATAGGCTCTGCTTTGGCGAGGAACAGAGGGGGCTCTGCCGATACTGTAACAACGTGGGCTATCGTGCATTTATTTTCCACTGAGAGTGCATGATCACCTGTATCCACACGAGCAAAGTCGTTGTTGCACAATCTCCCTAACTGTTCTTCAGCTGTCGGCCTACTAACATGGCAATCATGTACGGAATCAACGGCAGTTCTGCCTTCTCCAACTGGGCCTAACAACGTCCAACCGAGTAAGGTTTTCACAGCAAAAGGATGATTTCTATCCCCAAGACGTTGCTCTAAATGCCAGTGTGCCTCTGGCACGTTAGCACCTAAGAGTATTCGGATCCGACTATCCCGGATTTCCTCAAATGGTATATCCGCCATGTGTGGCCACTGGCGCGCCAAATCCCTCTTCGGGGTTATAATGGGTTCCAAGGGCAGTCTTGGCAAGCAGTAGGCCTGCCTAACAGAAATCGAAGCAGTGCCATCTAGGGATGACAAAGTGAAACCTACATAACCCGCTTCGATCGAGGATGTGCCCGACATCGTCGTGAATTCCAAACGACTTGGTGTGACCCCGATGCCGGCTTCTTCCATAAGTCCTTCTTCTACCAAAGTTACATTCGAACCTGTATCTAACAAGGCGTATGTTTCCAATAATCCTCTTTGGCTTTCTATACGCACTGGTACCACTCCCAAACACACCTGCTGCTGTGCAGTGAAGGTAGCAGTGCAAGTGTTTGCTACGGTCGGTGAAGTCACTTGTCTGGACTCTGAGTGAAGCAGTGGATGATGATGCCCTCTGCAGTCAGACACATTACATTCTTTGCTATTTTGACAGGTGGCAGATTTGTGACCTGTTTCTAGACACCTGAAGCACCCACCTCTGGACTTCATGAGCCTCCACCTGCTAGGAACATCCAAAGAGAGAAAACTACGGCACGAGGCCGTGGCATGATCACTACCACAATTCAAACACGCTGTTTTAGGAGAGGCACCTGACCAGGTGTAGAGGACGTGGCTACGATCGTTTCGTCTGTGCTCTACTAGCGGTGGTCTGGCATCTAAATGCTGCCGCGACGCATTTGACGAAGCGATTTGACCGAATCTACTTCGCGCAACACGAGATTCCGCGGCAACGAAATCAGCCAAGTCCTTGAAATCGACCTCCCGCCCATCATGCGTGATCGAATCTGCTACCCTTGCCCACCGGGCCTGAAGGCTGCTGGGTAAAACACGCACTACTCGTTCAATCGTTGCAATGGAATTCAAGTCCGCAGTAAAGTTCATCTGCGACAGAGCGATGTAGCAATTTTCCATTTTCATGGACAATTTACTCAATTCATCTGGGTTGGCAGAGAGTGGCCTCAAGCCAGTCATGAGACCATCAATTAACGATCTGGCTACGACATGGCTTTCTCCAAAGAGTTCACGGAGAACCTTTCTCGCTCTATCGTAGGCCACAGAGGGAGGCAACATCACACATTCACTGATGGCCTCCTTGGCATAGCCACGACAATAATGAATCAAATAAAGCAGTCGCTGGCCACTGTCAAACACGCGGCTTTCGACGTAGTATTCGAACTGCTTTACAAATTTCCAATACTTAGCAGGGTTACCATCGAAATATTCTAGTTCAACCTTTGGCAGATCTAGCTGTAGGCACTGCTGTGACACTAACCTACCCCGATTGGCTCTGTGATCGTACGCCTCGGCTGCCGACAACTGACACTGATCAACAAAAGCGCCTATACCCTGATTCCTCTCACCAGAACTAGGGGCCGATATCACTTTAAGATTAGAGCGGACATTGCTTTCTTCCAATTCTACTCGAAGCTTGGCCACTTCTAATTCAAGATCTACTAAACGCTTCTGCTTATCCAAATCTGACTGTCTTTTTCTTAACTCCGCTACAGTCATTACAGCGGACGAACGACGGGAAATAATACTATGCTCAATCTTATGGCTAACATGTGAACCAGAGCATGAAGCACCATCATGATATTCATCAATGACTTGCCGGTATGCTGCATCATCCATGGGATTTTCAGAGGTAAAATTCCTTGCAGACATTGTCCGATGTGATTGAGTGAGTTCCAATTCACTTCAAGGCGTAAAGAACCGTCAAATTCCGGAATCCAGTTGAAAGCAAACGAAATGCTGTTGAGTACGGCACTCGAAACTTCAAACTTCACTCCAAACGAGGAAGCAGTATTGAGTACTGTAAGCGACAATTCGCTTTGAAGGGCCTTGAGCCAACGCGTATCCAGCCAGTCAAAGAACAAGAACACTGGACAAGATGACGGTACTATTAACGAACAATCAGGAAGCAATAATATTACAAACCTCAATAGTAGCGCTTCCACTCAACGCAGTTTCAAAAGAGATACAATTCGGTCCGAGAACAACAAGAAAGGGTTCAGATCGTCAATGCGATACAGAATACAGAACACTGGTTATATAGGACAAGTGAAGTCCATGCGATTGGTCAAACACAGACCGGATGAAGGCCGGATGCGTGAAATGTGAGTGTGTGGGATGATAAGTACATTGCTCATGATCAGTGCGAGAATAATTGGGGTGATTGTTGCCGTGGTAAGGGCAAAGATAATTGAGGTGATAGTTGCGGTGGTAGTGGCGAAGATAGTTGGGGGTGGTAGTTGCGGTGGCAATGGCGAAGATAATTGGGGAGGGGGGCGATAGTTGCGCTCGGATTAGTCCACACTCGATGGTTGGCGGATGGCGGAGTTGAACACAGGGCATGGAGAATCCTACACATGCATTTCGTATCGTCAGTGCCGATAACGATAACAGGTAATTTTATATAACAGTTTGTGGGTACAGACATACATACAAACAAAAGCTAGAAAAAGGGGGGTGTCTTTCGTTTACAACCAGGGCAGCCTGAGGCTGACCGATAATTGTTTTTGAACACAAAGCACTGGCTTAATCCGATTAATGGCAATCGCCTCGGCAAACCGGAGGAGCCGGGAATTAGTATGGCGAAGCAGGATTCTAAACGCTTTGTTGACCTCAATTCGGTGACCTAATGTCAATAAGTGTCTGCCGATCGAAGATGCTGGCGGCCTGCTTACACACGTAGTCTGATTTGGGCTTGCTTGCTGAATAAGCCCGCATTGAATCCATTTTGGTACATGCTCCTTTATTCGGGAACTCAGTGTTCTATCGGTTCTGCCTATGTAACTATCCCTGCAGTTACATACGAATTGATATATACAATGGGAGTTGGCGCCAATAGGCTGAGTTTCCTTTAGTGGAGGCAACGGTAGCTTATGAGTTCGGTCGAGGATTAGAACATCGGCATCACAGAACGTGCTCTGTGTGGCGGAAATCAGACGTCTGCTGGTCCCCAAAGAAACAATGTCACCCTTAAAGGGCAGCTCTAAGAATGCCTTTTTCATAGGCACAGTAGGTACAGCAAGTTTCTTTTCACGTATTTCGCTGTGCTTTCGGATAAAGTTCCGAGGGTAGCCATTAGCAATTAACGTGTTGGTAATTAGTTCTAGTTCATCGGCTAGACAATCAGTAGAACATATTCGTCTGGCGCGACTAAACTACTTATGAGTAGTTGGAAGTATACAATGGGGCTACCCTGTCGTCTGCACGGTCTTAACATGCAAGCCAGTTGATAATGAGCGGCGCTACATCACACATAGTAACTTACTCATGACGGTCGTTGCCATCTCCCGAAGTTCAGTGATTGTACATACAGACTGTCAACAGTCGAGTTGTGGGTTCGAGCCCTATAAGGGTCAGATGGAATGCGCACTGCCAACGATTACTGAAGGAATGCAACGGCCGTACAGTGCTTTGCCGGGCGTGTGATGATTGAGTGAGTCTAGATGTGATTAATTTCTACCTATGCGATTGAATTCCCACTACTACACTTCTGTAATTATAACACCCTTTAACTTTCTTAGTCAAAACCCCACCTAGCTCGTCACATCGCAACTTTTCATCCCTCGATGTTCCAATTTGCCGAATGCGTAGCTTGCCAAAACATTTATGGTGAGCGATTACGCTGTGACTTATCGTGTATTATTTTGTATTTTTATTGCCCTTTAATTTTAGCTATTTGGATCAGCGATGTTTCACCATCTATTGTTCATTTCGCGAGTTCCTTCACACCTGACTTGTGCTCCTTCTTACACGTTCTGAGCTAGCTGGCATGAACTGCCGCAGTCTCGCTGCTGATAAATAGAATTCGTCAGATCTAATCTTGCGGCCTCATTCGTGTCGTCCTCGTTTAAACCCCACAGGGAAACTGTACCAGTCATATCTTCCAAGCCGGAATCACTACGTAGCAGGCCTTAAACGACATGCTCGGTATCAGTGCTGACACCCTCTGATAAGAGACGCTCCAAATAATGCATTCCATATTTTGAACTGGACGGACACTAACACATCACTTTTAGTGTACTCATACTGTGGATCACGTGTTATTCACAGCCTCCCGAGCCGCAACCTCTGGCGTATACTAGTCTATGAAAGGATCGACGTCTGGTATAAATGACGACAGAACTGAATCTCATAGCACCGGTACCCAACGATTCATTGCATCTATTATAAACGAGCCCTTACGCTGAAGGTCCGAACTATAATAGCATGGCTATAGTGTTTAAAGTGGTATCAACCCTTTCGCGTTAGCCGCTAGTTACATGGCCTCACCAGTTGCCTGATGCCCGTATTCCTCAGGCCTGCTCCAATGTTGTTATCTCTTATTTCCGAGATCGCATTCGATCTCGCCAACGCGCCCGTACCCAAGCAAGTGAGTGAAGCCTGTGAATTACTTACTCTACTAATCTCTACTTGTTTCCCTCGTTCCCGCTTTGTATTACTAGGACAGTGAATATATTAGTATCGCCACAAAACCTTTGAATGAAACGGCATACGCCAACTCTCATCCCATCTTACGGAACTGCACACCCACACCATAATCTACGTTATCACATCAGCCCCATTCATCAACCACACTATCAATAGTCTAGCACCATTGCCTGCCGCTGCCAACGCTCGCCTCAACACCCATGAGTTTCCGAATAGCATAACCACTAATCCACCTTCTTCAACAGTGACTGTCGTTGCTACCTCGGTAACATGACCTATGGACGTCACTTCTACTTCATCCCCTCTGCGCTTCTGCACGTTATGTTCGCGCTCGCTTCGGACATGTTCAGACCCGGAAAGGCACTTGGCAGCCCGTCGAGACAATTGCTCGGCGTTCTTATCCACAACGTTCGGGCACAATAACCTCCAGTTTGAGTAGCAGAGGTGTCGGAGCGCATCTTTACTCGTCATCTGGTACTACTGATCCCATCCAGTACAACGCATATTATCTACCAGAATTCCATGTTTCCACACCGCTTGTCCACATTAATAGAAGCTACATTATTGACCAGTGCAAGGTGATGATTGATTGTGTTCATCCTTCTGAAATCTAAAAATCAATCAATCTATCTATCTAGCTGAAAGCAATAAATATCTACTTACGCTATCGCTTTGTAGCCTCAAAAAACACTTAAACATTTAGGCAAGTACTATTCTACTTCCAAACAACTTGCTTCGTGGCCGCCAGTGAGCGATATCCTGCCGCAGTGCGATTTCCCTCAGTGTCCAAGGTTACTTCTTTCGATCGAGTGTGGAGTTCGCTGACAACTCCTTCACCGACACTGTCTCCACGCTATCCAGCCTCACTCAGGTAAATGAGGAGACAAACCCTCCATTTTCCACTGCTAACTCCCACGAGCAGTCTGAGCATTTGCTAAAGTCCCGGGACTAAGATTCATCATACGCTTAGTAGCGTTTTATTCAGTGTTGTGTAGAACTGCTAAATCAGACAAAAGCTGACTAAAAGGAAGGACAAAAGTTTGGGGTCTCTTAAACAAGAAGACGTGAGTCAATTGAAATTACTCAAACTTTCCTAAGTATAGCCCGAGTGATCAAAGTTATTGACCCCAGATCAACATTAATCTGTTGGTGGATGAGTTTCCTGTCTACCCTAACATGGCCCCTGCGGATCAGCTGATTCTGACCTTTTACATCAGTTGTTCTGACCTTTGAGTTGCGAGCTTCGTTTATCTGCACTCTAGAAGACGCAACACTACTAGCACCTCCCCATTAGTTTGTTCGGTTACGACCTCTGTCCTGGGTCAAGCTGAAACGCAGTCACCGCCTCCATGCACAGCTGGATTTGCGTCTTGAATAGGATTTGATGTCTGTCGCTTGCAGTATGTGGTGAGCTGTACCTACCACAACAGACATTTTCAGTTCGATCGATGTTGACAAACGATCAAGGATAAGTGTCATCACTACACATTTGATTAAAAACGTTCGTCGGAGTTGCTCAGTGTCGCACCTATACAGCAGTAGACCTACCTGGACATCGTGCAGAACATGCCCAATCCGTCTTTTACTGTTGCCAATGACCCACTTTTGATATCCAAAGCGGTAGTCTATAACTGGCATACGATCTCCTGGTTGCTTCGTCCGTATTTTTGGAGCGAAATCCGACACGCGGTTCAAAAATCGTCGGATAACGTCATGTACCAGACATAAGCGCCTGCTCATCAGTGCTTCAGCTAGTGAACAGCCATTCAGACTTTGCGGATTTCCAGTAGTTCAGTAATAATGCCGTTATTTCCCGCACCAGGCTCCGATGGCTCGGCCACGTTTTACGCATGCCAGCCCACCGACTCCCGCGACGTGCGTTGTTTGCTCACCGGGGATGTGGGTGGAAGAAGAGGAGAGGTGGCCAAGCGATGACATGGTCTAGAGGAATGAAGTTCATCACTTCGGAGCTAGCCTCGGTTGGACCGTCACGGCTCCCTGGTTGGGGTCCAAAAGACGGTGAACACGTTTGGCTGGATACACTTGTTGACATGGCTAGGAGCCGAACTCAGTGCGTTCCTGCTGTGAGTTTCTTTGTCCCCCCCCCATCACTTTTAGTCTCCCCCTAATCAACTATCTCATTTCCTAGGGTAAAACATAATAATTTTTTTCTTTTTACCTACTAGCTGGCTGGAAACTTACCGGAACAATGCCCATCCGATGCTGGTAAATCAGCTGGCATGAATTAAAAATGCATGGTGGACGGAGAAGGCGAAGCAGATGGAATGCTACGCCGAACGCCGTCAACACAAGGAATTCTTTGACTCCTTGAAGGCGGTGTATGGACCGAGATTGGAGCCGCTGAGGACACTGATCGATGGTAGTTCAGGCGCTACCTGCACCCAGACTGCAGACATAATGCAGGTCTGGCGGAAACACTTTGACTGTCTCTTGAATAACCGTTCAGAGATCGACTGGCCTACATTGAATGGCCTGAAGCAGCACGATGTGAAGGCGGATCTGGCGGATACGCCGAGACTGGATGAGACACAGAGAGCACTTGCTCATCTGCGAAACGGCAAATGTGCCGGAGGTGACGGGATCCCACCTGCTGTATTGAAACACGGTGGACCCACGTTGTTGACTGCGCTACACCACTTGGTGCAACGCGTGTGGATTGAGGAGGAGGTGCCTGCTGAGCTGAAGGATGCCCTTGTGCTACCACTGTACAAGGGCAAAGGTAGCAAGCAATGTTGTACGAATTATCGTGGCATCAACTTGCTGAGTTGTGTGGGCAAGGTGATTGCCCGAATCCTGCTCAATCTCCTCGTGAGTCAGATTGTGGAACCTAACGTGCCGGAAGAGCAATGTGGATTCCGTTCGGGTCGCAGCACTATAGATATGGTGCTTGCGGCTCGT